TCCTGGGCCTGCCTAAGTTGATCTCTGAGGAATGAGAGGTCTGGAGAAAGGGAGAGGAAGAATCTGAGTTCACTGTCTCTGTTCTCCCCTTCTCCCAGAATACCAAAGACCAACCTACCATTGACAAAATATTCCAAAATCTGGATGCTGATAAAGATGGCCAGGTCACCTTTAAGGAATTCATAATCCTGGTGGCCGAGGTGCTGGAGACTGCCCATGAGAACATCCACAAAGAGTAAGAAGCTCTGAGGGGCTTTTTCCCAGCAATGTCCCCAAGAAGATGTTTCGTTCTCCTCACCCAAGTCCAGCCTTGCCTGAGGGAAGTGAGAGTTAATAAATGTACTCTTGAAATGTTCTTTACAGTGTCTGTGCACTTTGTTCTTTACATGCCCATGGTCCCAAGCTTGATCACATTTCACTCGTGCTGTTCTGACGGGCCTCATTCAGACCCTTGAGACCCCCACTCTGTTTCTTCATTTGTTCACCAAGTACTTATTAAATGTCCACTATTTGTTCATCTATTCATTCATTCAACAAATATTCACTGAGCATCGATGATAGTGAAGGGGAGGAAGACTATCTTCTACCCAGAAAGGAGAGGGTCCTTTCTGGCTGGGGTACAAATTAAATTGACATGAGACAAAATAACAGGAGAAAATCAAACAAAGCTTTATAACATGTATACATGGGAGAGACCCGGAAAAACTGGGTAGCTCGACAAAATGGCAGAGGTTCTCATCTTAAATACTATCTTCTGCTAAAGACAAAGGAGGATGTTAGAGGTGGGGAGAGTCAGCTGTGGGAGATTACCAGCAAAGTGCAGTAGACAAGAGTGGTTATTATGCAAATTTAAGCCCTTGCCTTCCGCACTGACAAGTTTCTAGAGATGAGGTCATCCCCCTGCCTCTTGCCAGTACAGAGAAGGAGATACCTTTACAAACGGAGATTTCCCTTACAAATATAAATGTTTGGTAAACAGAACTTTGATAAGAATGGGCTTAGCAAGGACCCTCCCAGTCTATCAATACCCAGTTATTTATGGTGATGGCCTGTCTTGGGGACAGACCTTCTATCTTAAATTCTTTTAGGCAGTTATTGGGGTGGGGGGAGGTCAAAGTTTCTTTCAGAGTCTTCCGAGCCTTTATTGTCTTCAGCTTGAAATAATCTGCATATCAGAGTGGCACATCTAGGGGCAGCCTACCCTGAACCCCATCAATAGCCAGAGACCAAAGACACAAAGTGCTTGTCCTCTTGGGGCTTGCATTCTATTGGGGTGGGGATAGAAAATAAACAAATAAAAATGTATCATATGATACATGGGTAGGTAATGATAAGTGATATGAAGAAAGCTACAGTAGGGAAATAAGGTTGGGGCAGGGGAGGAGAGGGCTGCTGCTTTAAATGTGAGGATCATGGAATGCATTTGAGCAGAAATCTGAAAGAATTGAAGGAGAGCAGCTTGCAGACATCTGGGGGCCATGTTCTTGCAGAGAGAGGCTAAGGCCCTGCCATGGGCGCATGCTTGACCTGCTCAAAGAACAGCACGAATGGCCGTGTCAGGAACTGAGATGGGGAGTGGTGGGAGGTGTGCACCTGCAAGAAACAAGGAGCAGGGATCAGGGGCTTATAGACCTGGGGAGGCCTTTGGACGTTATTCTAAGTGTGCTAAGGAGCCACTGGGGGATTTTGAGCCAGGGAGCAAGATGATTTCACTTATGGTTCAAATGGTTTCCCTGTGGAGAAGAGCTTGACGGGGCAGGCAAGAGTGGAAGCAAGGAGGCCAGTGAGGGGATTCCCCAGAGCGGCGCTGGCCAAGAGAAATACAATGTGGGCCGCAGATGTAATCTTACAGTTACCTGAAGTCACATTGAAAAACATGAAAATGAAGAGGAAATAGTTTTTAGCAATATATTTTACAAACCCAATAGATCAAAAATATTATCACTTCAACAATGTAAAAATTATTTTTGAGATATTTTGCATTTTTTCTTTTTTTTCAAGCCTTTGAAATCCAATGTGTATTTTACACTTACAGCATGCCTCACACTTACAGTCACATTTCAAGTGGCCAATAGTCATAGGTAGCTCATGGTGATAGTATTTGTGTGTAGCCCAAGACAACCTGAGAGATGAGGGGGCTGGGCTAGGGTAGTCGTCAGGGTGGTGGTGAGGGGTGGTCAGGCTCTGGATACATTTGAAGGTGGGAAATAAGAAATCAAGGATTATTCCAAAGGTTTTTCCCCAAGACATTGAGCTGGATACTAAAGACACAGAAATGAGAAACAAAGTCCTTGCTTGAATATACTCAACTCTGGTGAGGAGAACCTGGGTCAGCAGAAATCCCTGTACAGTGTCATGTATGTTTTGGCAGAAGTAAGCACAGGGTGTTGTGGAGAAGAGGAAATGTAACCGAGCAAAAAGGGCCTTGTTCTGCTCGCCGCAATCCAGCGCCAATCAATTGCAAACAAGCTGGTGGTTGAGAAAGGAAAAGTCATATGATTAGCCAGCGTAATGGGAAGATGGTGGACTAGTGTCCTAAAAAAACCCATCTTAAAGTCATACAGAATCTTGAGGCAGTTATATAGGAGAAATGGGCAGGGAAAGAGGGGGTTTAGCGATGTCAACCATCTGATGTGACAAACTTCAAGGCGCCACATGGTCTCTTTCTTCTGTCATTTGTGACAGATACCAACACAGAGTTTTTTTTCTGGAGGTCACCATGTTCCTGCAGAACTCAAAGAACAAAGTTATCCTTGTCACAGCTGGGAGATATACGTAAACAAGAGTCATAGAACTAGCAGATCATGTATTTTGCAAAAGCGAGAGGTGCTTAATCATCTAGAGTACGTGTAGGCTAGAATGCACTCTCAGAGACTAGTAAGTCAGGACCACAGTTACAATATTGCTTCCTTTCCCTAAGATGGCTTCCCTCATGCTAACCTAAGATCTAGCTGTTACAGAAAGTGGTCCAGCCTTGGAGGCTGCAGTCAGTTAGGTGTCCTGGAGGAGAAGACACTTGGCCATGAAATTTGGGTAGAACTTTGAAAGGGGGAAAATGCTGCAGAATTTCCACATTCATGGACATGGGATGGTAAAGAATGCCTTTCTCTCAGGGTGTGTGTTGGGGGGTGGGCACAGGAAAGAATGGGGAGGAACAAGGGAGACAAGAGCAGGGAAGAGATTGCTAGCTCTGTGCAACACAGGTGAGGGGAGGGAAGACTTCTCTGGCCAGACTCCCTTTCCACTCTGATCTAGGCAAGGCCTTTTGTAAAAAGTTCCCCTAGGGTGGTGCTGCTCTCCTTCCTGGCTCTTCTTTCCAGTTGTGAGTCCATATCCACTGCTGTGATGTTTGTTTAATGTCTGTTTCCTCCAGTGGACTAGGGGGTTTGAGAGCAGGCTCTGTGTCACTAGCATCAACATTGTGCCTGTCATGTGGTATACTTTCATAAATATCTGTTACATGAATGAATGTATGGAAATCAATATGGTGTTTGGCTAGAGTTACTGGAAATGGTTCCAGGCGGAGAGAGGAAGGAGCATGGCCTCCAAGGGCAGGAACAATCTCCCTAAGGGACAGGTGTTGGGGCAGTGTGCTCCGGTGAGAAGTGCATTCACTCTGATTCAGCAGAAGTCACTGAGGGCTTCCCTGCCCTCCAACCCCTGCTTGGTGCTGAGTCAGGTCTGGGATAGATGGGGTGCCCATTTGGAGTCACACTCCATTTAGTTGGGACTACCGTCAGCATACCCACATGTTATGGGCTAAATGTTTGTGTCCCCCCACCCAATACATATGTTGAAGCCCTAGCCCCCAGTGTGATGGTACTTGGAGACGAAGCATTTTGGAGATAATTATGTTTAGATTAGGTCATGAGAGTGGAACCCTCGTGATGGGATTAGTGCCTTTATAAGAAGAAGAAGAGAGAGCTTTCTCTCTCTCCATGAACACACCTCAAAAGAAGGCCATGTGAGCACACAGCAAGAAGGTGCTGTCCACAAGTGAGGAAGACAGCCCTCACCACGATCCCAACCATGCTGGACCCTGATTGCAGACTTCCAGACTCTAGAACTGTGAGAAATAACTGTCTGTTGTTTAAGTCAGCCAGTCTATGGCATTTTCTTACAGCAGCTGGAGCAGACTAAGACAACACGGAAGCAGCAGCCAGGGCACAGCCTTGGACTCTGGCGGACCCTCCAGTGGCTGTTCCCCCTGGCTCCTGTTCAGCTGGAAGAACAGGCTAGAAGGGCAGGTTTGTGACAAAACTTAAGGAAGATTAGGTAACTTACTGGAGCCCAGGTATGGCAGAAATGAGGAAAAGTGAGAAGGGGAGCTTTATATTGGGGGAGGGACTGCATTTGTCTTTCAGTTTATTGAGTGCAAAGCCCTGTGGAGATGATGTGTAGAAAGCTGGGATTCAGGACTGAGGCCAGAAAGTGACAACTCTTGACCATGGGGGCCTGGGGTTGGAGGTCTGCTGGACCCCACACCCAAGGAAACTACTGTGTCTGTGAGATGTGGAGCTGAGGCAAAGCCGAGGAAGGAGGAAAGTGTGGAAAGCATGTGAGGAAGAGGAGCCTGTGGAGACTCTCTCCTGGGGATAGTGCCAGGTGGAAAGACTGAAGATGGGGTAAAGTGGGATTGGCAGAAGATGAAGGAATTTAAGACCCAGAGTGGTGGTCTTGGAATAGCTCAAGCCTGGAAGTCTTCCTCCATCAAATGAGAATTGGAGATGATTCAAGGAAAGCCCTCACTTGCTGGATGACCTTGGGCAAATCACTTTGCTTCTCTGGACCTCTGTTTTCTTCCTTTTTGAAGAATTCGCAGGAATTCAAGAAATTCATTTTGAAGAGTTTAGACTAGGTGAACACCTAGGTGTCATCAGAGTTAACGTTCTGAGATACTTGGATGGGATGGAGGAGAACTTTGAGTAGGATCTAGAAGGGTAGGAAGGAAGCTATTCTTGGGCTCTAAAAGCATCTTGGCCAAGGGTATGAGGACAGAAGTTATATTTCTGGGTTCACATCCTAGTTCTACCACTTCCTAATTATGAGACCTTGAACAAGGTACTTAAAATCCCTAAGCCTCAGTTTCCCCATCAATAAAATGGGGATGATAGTAGCACCTCTCTCCCAGAGTTGATCTGAGGATGAGATCATCTAACAGCACTTGTAAAGCACGTAGCACAGCACCTGATGCTGAGTAAGCACTCAACAGATATTAGTAAGCACTCAACAGATATTAGCATGAAGATTAAGACACTACTTTATTAGGAGACAGTAGTGATCGCAGGTCAGCCACTCTCTCTCCACTGCAGCCACAACAAGGACAGCCTATTTTAAACCAAAACAAAGACTGAGGTTATTTTCAGGGGCAACTTGGATAGTTAAAGTTGACCAGTGTTAGACAAGTAACCGAGGGCAGTGGCGCTCTGTCTTTCTCTAAAGGCCTTTAAACTAGACCAAGTTGTTTTCTGCAAACTGGGTTTCTTGCTTTATGCCTCACATATATCTGTGACCTCTGGTGAAAGATATGTAGTATTTGAGCTGGTGAAAACCAACCATCACCCAACAAGAACAAAACCCAGAGTATTTGCTGCTGTGAAAACACTCACCAGCCACGATTTTGTTTCAAAATAGCCAACTGAACCACAAAATGAACTTAAATCATATTTAGAAAGATTGTAAGGGCCCCCAATCTTGCTCAAAATCCATCAGTCAGAGATCATCAGTCAGAGACACCTGAGGGCCAGGAAGAGAGCCCTCAACCTGGAATCAAATGCCGTTGGTCAGACTCGCAGCTCACCTACTTCATGGCTCTGAGAGTCTGAGCGAGTGACCTCCCTGCTCTGATCTCTGTCTCTCTGCCTGTAAAGTGCATGTTGGGCTAGGTCACCTCTACCGCCTCCACGGAAAGGCAAAGCCTTGTCCCCTGACCGTGGCAGGAGCCCCGAAACAAGCAGAGGGACACGAGGACTGTCAGAACCACAGGACCTCAGAGCCTGGACCTGTCCTCTCCGGCGTCTTCATCAGCCTCCTGCCCACCATGCGCCCTCGATTCCAGCCATTCCAGAATGTTCTACAGTTTCCCCCTGAACTTTCAGACTTCTGGAACCTCCACCTGCTGTCCTATCATTCTCTTTGTCTGAAGAGCCCTCTTTTCCCTCATTCACAAACGTTTCAGAAGTGTCTACTCTGTTGTAGGCACCAGGCTGCTGGGCCCTTCTTTAGCGCTAGGACTCCTGCTTGTCCACCAAGGCCCAACCCGAACGTCACATGCTCCAGGCAACTCACCCAGGCACATTCCCCTCCCATATTTCCACCTCCCATTCAGAGGAGATTTCAATTTAGGGACTCTGGGTCTTACCTGCCTGTCATGCTCTTGGGCTTATGGGAGGCATTGGTCTGACAGAGCCTTCTGGGCAAGGGCATTGTTCTGCAACAAGGGACACCAATGCCCCTTTCTTGGGTGCTGTGGGTGTAACACCTTGCCCTTCAGGAAGACGTTTCAGCTAAGCCAACCTGCGTGTTGGGGCTTTGGAAGTCTGGGGAAGGATCTGGATTCAATAGGATTCCTACCAGAAGCCCCTGGGGCAAGAATGGCTAGGACTTATCATTTTAACTTGGCCTGTATAAAAAGCCTTCAAAGTTGGAGGAAAGCAAACTAGACTGTGAAAATCTGCAGGGCGAGGCCCTGACTTCCTCTGCTTCTCTGATTTCTCTCATCACCTAACACAGTGCTGGGCGTGCAGAAGTTCAACGCTGACCCCTTCAAAACTCAACACAGCATCAATCTGAGGACTTTCCTGAACCCTCCTTACCTACACCCCGCCTCAAATCTAGCCAAGAAGTTGGACAAAAAGCGCTGGCCCCCCAGCTCCTGGGGCGTCTTGTGCTTCACCCACGTTTGCTTGCCTTTGCCCACGATGGGATTGAAAATATTTTTTTGGGATCTGTTGCCCCCATTAGACGGGGACTCCTTGAGGGCAGGTGACCTAGTATTTGACACGAAGATCAGGTTCCACAAATCTGGCAATAGCCTCCTAACTGGTCCCCAAGCTTCTGCTCCAGATCCCCCAACTCCTTCTCCACACAGCAGCAGAATGATCTCATCCCAACAGAAATCATACCATGTCACTTACCTGATTAAACTACCCCCAGAAGTTTCCCAATGCTTCTGTCCTTCAGGCTCATTTCCATTGGGAGGAGGCCCTGCCCAGTTCCCCACCTCACCTAGCGTCACTGCTTCATGTCTTCTCGTTCATTTTCTTTGAGGAACTCATCATCATCTGAAATTATCTATTTTTTATTCCTTGGCTTGTTTCTTGTCTGACTCTGCCCTAGATGTAAGCTCCCAGAGAGCAGGAACTTGCTGTGTCTTGTTGGCCCAGCACCTGTGATGGTGCCCTGAATTTACTTGGTCTTCAAAGAATGTTTGCTGAATGAATGAGCAACTGACCCATGTTGGTTTAGTTGAATTGAGTTACTGTTTCCTAACTGAGAGAATGAACAGCTGATACAAAATGCAGTGAGATGCTTGTGGTGGGGGGGAGGATGGAGGGAGTGGCGGGCAGCAGATGAGCCCTCAGAGAGGGTTTGGGTGGCCGTGCTGTGGAGTGGACTCCTCTCCCCAGATCTTGGCAATATTTGAAGGCAGTTGTCATGACCCACTGCTTCTCTTTTCCAGACTTGATACCCTCAGCCCTTCTACTATTTTCCCCTTGGAATTTTCTCCTTCCATTATGAACAGGCGCCTCAGAAGCTGAGCATCTTCCATTTTGGAGGAGTCATCCCTGGTTAGATGTGACCCAAGTTACTTCTCAAAGGCATTCCCCTCCTTGAAAGGACGCAGCTACTTGGGGTGGCACCTCACCACTGAGACAAGGAGGGCAGAAGGCAGCAATAAGGGGAAGATTCAGAAAGAATGTAGGAAGAGCAGGGAGAGAGAGAGGGGGCAAAGCCACAAGGAAAGGTGAGAGAGGCAGGGAGCAGAGAGGGAGAGAATAGACTGGAACTGGGCGGGGGCTACCCCAGGCTGCACGACAGAATCCTGCTCCCCCTGCTGCTCCTGCCTATGGGCCACCCTCCTCGCCTCACCTCAGGTTTGTGAACTACCTCTTTCCTCACTGTACAGTCTGCATGTAATGATTTGGGTACTGGGGCAAAATGGGAGACCTCACAGAGAAAAGGGAAAACCTGGGGGTGCTCACAGGAAGAGGCCAGCCAGCCCTCCCAGATGCTCACTCTGCCTGTCTCTTGTGTGGGAATAGGGGATCTCTGAAGACAGGGGTTGGGTCCACAGGGCCATGGAGCTGACCCTAGCGTAGGGGTAGAGGAATTGTTTCAAGCCTGTTGTTTCAGGCTCAGAGGCAACAGCACTGAAGCAACCAGTTATTTCAGTCCTGTTGTCACTTTGGTAATTGAAATGTCAAAATCCATGACACAGGGCTTTCTAAAATATAAGTTTTCAGCAACTGCTGGGAGGGGAGGCAGGGTGTTGAGGTTGGTTTCTGGAGTTTACTTCAGAGCAGGCTTGTGTCAGGGTTGTGTAAGATTGCTTCACCAGGCTGTGGAAAGCTAAGGGATTTCTTCCCAGCAAGGTCTTGACAAACAGCACAGAATTGTCTTCTCTACCATGTAGGGGTTGCAGGACATGGCTGCCAGTTGAGATGAGCCTGGGGCTCTTGAGATCCTGGCTGCATTCATTTCCTCTGAGAAGCGCCACCTAGGCTCTCTCCAGCTCTCACCTGGACAGTGGCGGGAGCCACCTACCAGGCCTCGTGGTCGTGGTCTCAGTCCCACCGCAAATCCATCCACAGACCACCGATAGGGAGACTTTTCTAAAAGACAAGTGTGGTTATATCATTTTCCTCCCTAAAAGCCCCACTACTTCTGCCCCTGCTCTCCTGTGGAAAGTGTACACTCGGTGGCCTGGTATCTGCCCTGCTCTCCTCTGTGTCTCCCACCTCCCCCTCAAACACCCCCAGGGCTCCTCATCCTGCTCAAACCCCACATCTGCCCACCTCCAGGCCTTTGTACACGTTCTCTCCTCTTTCTGAAGCACCTGCATGTTGATGCTGGGGTGCCAGCACCACCAGCCTTGATGTGGCTTGAATATTCACCCCTCCAGGAAGACAGCCCAGCTGAAGGACAGCCAGCCCAGCTGAAGGACAGCCTTCCCATCTGAAAGTCCCAGCACGCTTAACCCCTCTCTGGCCTTTCACCTTCCATATTAGAATCATCTGAAGATCCGTCTTGTCTGCCCTGCAGGCCTGGAAGATCCTTAACGACAGGGTGGAGCCTGATTTACCCTAGGGGCATTCTATAGTGCCCAACATACAGTAAGTCCACAATGAATGTCTATTGAATGAGTGAATGAATGGAAAAACAGGTGAATGACTACAGAATCCATTTCTCCCCCAATTCGGGAAGCATCTCACATCACCCAGGCCCCAGGGCACAGTCAGAGCTTTGTAAAGTGTCTGGGCAGAGTCTGGCAGCTCTGGCATCCAGAAGTTCTGGTTCTACTGATAAGGAGAACAACTCCCCTTCTAGGAACTGGGAGGCAGGTATCTGACCACAGGATCTCTGTTCCTTAGTCACCATGATGCTGGGGAAACCCCCAAAGTTCTTGTTTCCAAAAGGACTCATGAATCATGAGAAAGTCAGCAATCCTCACTTGGAGTGGAAATCCTCATCTTGACACTGACACTCTAACTTCCTTATCCAAGGGTGGAGCTAGCTCCCTCTACTCAACAGAGCTACGTCTTTGGAAGGGAAGGGGTTAATGAGATGGAGGGATTAAGTCACCTTGATAGCTCTTTTGAACTATGTTTAAAGAGATCCCACAGAGCTCTGTAAGAGTGGCTTGCTGTCAGACCTTCCCCTGAGCCCTAGAACAACCTCCTGCTCTAGGGTTGAGCCAGCAGAGAGAGAAGGCAAAAGGAGAACTCTTGGCATCTCAGAAGCTCTGTCCCCTGCCATCCTGCTGCTCAGCTGCTCCACCCTCTCCCAGCCTCTCCAGGTGGCAGGACTGTGGGCACAGTCCTAATGCCCAAAGCTGTCACCACCTCACACTCTGACCACAGGCTCCAACCTCACCCTCCAGGTCCATAGGGTCCTAGGACCACCCACCTTCACTCGCTCATCATAAAGCTTACTGAGAACGTGTTCCATGCTGGCATTTGGAGATTTGGGGCAGATCAGCCAGAGTCCCTGCCTTCAGGGCCATTGTCAGACTTGCAGATAAGGGGTCACAATTCCGCACTGGAAGTGCAAAGATATGAGTGACAGAGAGCTCTATGGGCCTGGAGGACGAAGCCCCTATGTACTTGGAGAAGGTAGATGGTCACAGAAGTCTTCATGGAGGCAACGACAAAGGCTCTGGGCCTTCATGGGTCCTAAGGGGCTTACCAGAGACCCCAGGATGGGGACAGCATTCCTGATGCAATGAAGCAGGGTTCGAGAAAGCCTGGATGTGATTTAGGGAAAGTGTTCTGAAGAAGTGGATGGGTGGCTGCCTGAAGGGAAGGCGTTAGATTTATTTTGTGTCCAGGGATGTGGGAGAAGTCTAGGATTAATGCTCAGCAGGCACATGGAGACAGATTTGGCTCAGTGTAATGAAGGACTTTCTAAGTGTCAGGGCCAAAGGATGAAACTCCTTTTGCTGGAAGAGCTCAGGCAGGGCTGGGCCAACCACTTGGCAGTGATGGTGGGGGAGAATCACTCAATCATAGGGATGGGGCAGATTGGGTTAAATCAACAATTTTCAAACCTCTTTCAAAGCAAATACTTTTCTTCAAATGGAAGCTTCTCTGTGCAGCAGATGAAGGCTGGGGTGACTGAATAAATCCTGGGAGGTGCCTCTGGATTCCCATCACCTCACTGCCCCTACTTCTAGTTTGAGATCCCATGATGATATCCAGAAGCCTTCCATCAGCTGGTTTTAACCCCACTTTCCTCCTCCCTCCTTTCTCCACACCTTCCCCTGACAAGGAGCATGGAGCATGAGGGAGAATTTAGAACATCCATAGGGGCAATATTGTTGAGATCCTATGATGTATCACCATTCCCCTAGGTGCTGGGAACAAAGCAGAGAAAAGACAGATGCCACAGACTTGGCCCTTGCAGAGTTCATGGTCTAGTGGGGAGGCAGAGTTACAAACATATTTATGGCACATTGTGATAAGTAACGGTGTGTAGAGGGGGTGAGGGGAGCCTACCGCACCCCACCCTACTGGAGCATCTAGTAGAAGCATCTAGTCCTGGTGAGGCCACTGATAGAACCCAGGGTCCCCACTTCCAGGTCCATTCTCTTTCCCCTGTACCAAGCTGCATTCAGAAGGGATGATGCCTCCCGGGACAGGACGGTAGGGGACATGGCTTTCGGAAGGTGAGTCTCCTCAGCTGTTGTGTCCTCAACGCATACAAGGAAGTGCCTGGGGGCTTCTAAACTCTGCTCCCCAAGCTCCCAGCCTGGAGTAGTTCTTGGAAACATCCTCATGCCCTCAAGTGGAAGCCTTAAATGCCTGCAGCCACAGCAGAGGCCCTGGTCCCTTAGAGCAGGGGCCCGCATGGTCCACTGCATGTAGCCTGGGGACCTGGCTACAGCCAGGTGGTGTGGGAGAGCCAAAATCTGACTTGCCGCTCCTTTCTTCATGTTCAGCACTGGGGAAGGAGCTGGAGATCCAGCCCATGGAGAAGATGGGGTTCATGGTCCTTTTCTCTATGCGCTATCTTGACCAACTCTACTCCATATGACTCTGTACTCCTTCTGCACTCTGTGCTTGGTTTTCTTCATTTGTAATATAGGGGCTAGATGATTGTTAATCTTCTTCCAGTTCCTCCTAACCCTAATTCTGTCAGAGTCTTCTCTCTGCTGCAAGCTCAGCGTAGGGCAGACACCCCTGATTTGGCTCTGGTTTTTGGAAGGCCCACCCCAGCCTGGTGATAACCTGGGAGCGGGACTCTATGGTGATCCTCTCAGGCCCTAGGTCAGAGAGAGATGGCAGAGGAGTCACCTGGATGTCTCTGAAATGAGTGGTTGGGTCTGGAGGCTGCTTGAGGTGGGAGTAGCAGCCTCCAAGGGGAAGCAGGGAGCCAGGCCTGGCTACAGGTTTTGCAGAAAGGAGCAAGTGTCCCTGGTGGCTTCAGCTCTCAGCTACTGACCAGGGACAGGAGGAACCTCGGTCACCCAGAGAAGTCAGCTTCCCTTCAAGGCTTAGAATCAGAATCTTTAGGCTAGAAAGACTCTCTGGACCCAGAGTCCCACCTCCTCATGTGGTGGCTGAGCCTTGTAGCTGTGGAGCAGGATTGGAGCTCCTTCTTCTAAGGGACAGGCAGGTGCTCTTCTCACTCTCCCATCCTGCTGGGGCTGGGCGCTGGGGCCAGACTCCCCAACCTTCATCCATATGCACACCTGCCCCGGTATCCATGGTGAGTGTGCTAGGTCCGTTAAGAGGCACCAACTGCTCCTGTGGATCCAGAACTCGACTTGTGGGTAAACACACCCAATGTGTCCTTATTCCCACTGCCCAGACTCCAGTATTGCTCCTCAGACACTCCACTATTGCTCCTGTCTAGGTGCACTTCTGGAAGACTTCCAGAGGAATAAGGGTCTATTAGGAGAGAGAGGGTTGTGTGTACATCCTGGGTGAAGAGGGGTTTGGGGCCGGGGGCGGGTTGCTGACATGTCAAGGGGACGGGAAACCCCCTTTTGCTTTCCATGCTGAGAAGGGCCAATTTGACAGGCTGGACAGGTTGTCCTGAGCTGGGGCAGGGTGACTGTGACCTGAGCAGTGGGGCCTGAAGTCAGAGGTGGGGAAACGGTCAGGGAGGTGAGCCCAAGTGTTCAGAAGAGACCCATATTGTCACTGCTTCTCATTTATTATTAACAAGTGAAGGGGTTGAGCCCCAGTTAACGGGCAGGGCTGTCTAATGCCCAAAACTCCTGGAAGGACAGGTTGGGAAGGGGGTGGCAGAAGAAGCATGCAGAGCACTGGCTTGGAGGATGACTTTATTTCATCCCATACCCCCCAGGCCCGCAGCTCAGGCAGTGTGGCACACAGCACTATGGCCCTAGTTGAGCAGAGGCAGGGTGGCCGGGCCACCTGATTAGTGGCTGTGGCCATGGCCTCCGTGGCTGTGGCCATGGCCTCCGTGGCTGTGGCCATGGCCGTGGCCTCCGTGGCTGTGGCCAGGGCCACTTTCCCCAAGGCCTGGCCCATGGCTGTGGCCTTCTGGACAGGGGGCATTCTCATGCATCTTCTCGTGGGAGGCTTCCGTCAGCCGGGCGATCAGGATGGAGAACTCCTCGAAGTTCAGCTCTTTGTCTGCATTTGTATCCAGGTCCTCCATGATATGATTTATGGCTTTCTCATCCTTCTTCTTACTCTGTGGGAGGGGGAGACAGGATGGTCAGGGCTGGGTGTGGCCAGGGCTGGGGACAGGGAACACAGCCCATGACCCAATGGCAAAGGCACAGGGACACCTGGCTCTTAGGCCTCAATTCAAAAATTAAAAATGACTGTGGCTGAGTTCCCATAGTGTAGCAGATGCCCAGCGTGTGCAGATTGATGGGACTTGTGAGAAGATGCTGGAAATGCACATTCTGATCAGACTCAGAGCCCAGTCTTGTCCCCTTCCTTCTACACCTATCCACTCAGCTCCCTCCTCTCCCTGCCCTCTCAGGGTCACTAATTAGTGACACTCACTTCTACCTGCACTGTGGGAAGCACCTGAGGAAAACAAACAGATTCTGATCTTGTGTGGGGACAGAGAGCAGTGTGGGTGCTGCGTGGACCCCAAAGGGACTGATAAAGTATGCAAGGGGGGTGCGAGGTGAGGTGAGGGGTCCAGGCATGGCAGAAGGGAGCTCCAGTTGGTTCTGGCTCTGCCACCTACTGGTGGGGGCACCTCAGCTAAGCCCCGTCCCCAGACCCTGTGCTGCCCAGCTCATTTCCCAGCCCTTCCCGCTCCTGCAGAGCTTCACCATGGTCTGCTTTCCTGAATTTTAGCCATCGCCACTCGGGAAGAGCACTCAATCCTTAGCAGCCCATGGCCCAGGTCCCAGCTTCCCCTCTGGCCTATCACTCTGCTTCTGGTAGAGGATGTGGGGGTTTGGTGAGAGCACATGGGTCACACGGAGAAAAGCCTTGCCCACACAACCTCTTGGCTGTACTCTCCCTTGTTTGCCCTGAGCCAGCGTCCTGCTTGCTGAGCTCCACCGCTATGGGGAGCTGTCAGCATCCCCAATATCTCCTACTCCTGCCCTTCTCCACCTTTCCAAGATGGGAAGGGGCTTCAGGGAGGGCTAGCCACCTGCTCCGGGATCGAAACTGAGACTGGGAACCAATGTCCCACCCTTCTTATCCAGGCCTCTGATTCCCCAAAGTCCCCGTATTTACGAAGAAAACTAAAAGATCCTGTGGAACTAATCCTCCTTTGTCCTAGAACTGCCTAATTGTTTTCAGACCAGGGAAATAAACTCACGTGGTACTGAGAGCTTAGCACATGCAGTGCTGGGCTGGGTGCTTCCCTGGGCATGTGACTCGTACCGTAGACCCTTCGGATTAGAAAGCCCTCTCAGGTTTCTCCTCCAAGTCCCATCTGAGGCTTGGTGTCTCCTCGGCTTCTGCCAAGGGCTGTCCTCAGCTGCTTCTCTCCTCAACGTCCCATCTCAGCTCAAAGGTCACCTCCTCAGCAGGGCCCTTCTTGTCCACTTAACTAGTCACCTCTCCCTGTCCAGCCCAAGTCACCCACAGTGCCCTCACTTGTTTTCTTTTGGATATGTTTTGGCATTGGATTTATCTGTGCTCTTTATTGGACAACATCTTTGCTATGTGTCTCTCCTAGCTGGACTGTGGGTCTCTCTTCTCCACTACGTGCCTCTGCCTGGGACAGGACCTGGCACACAGCACACGTTCAGTCAGTCAGTCTCTCCTGACTCTCCCAGGCCATCTAACTTGGAGCACCTCTGGGCCCCTGCTGCCTCCAGAGACTGGGTTGAAGGAACTAGAATTTTCTCCTTGACAGTTGCAGACGGCACCCCATCCTCCATCCTTAGCCCAGACTCTTGCCAGGCTGGGTCAGGCCTGCCAGGAGTCCAGCCCTACCTTGAGGAAGTTTGCCAGCTCTTTTTGCACCAGCTGTTTGAATTCTTTCCGGTTCAGAGTGTCTGGGTGCCCCAGCCGTACAGAGTAGTGGTGGAAGACATTGATGATGGTCTCTATGCTCCTCTCCAACTCCGACAATTCCGCCATCTTCCTGCACTCTATCTGAGGGTGGAGAAGCAACGGTTCAGGTGCTTAGAAGAAAAGGCTGTCAAGTTTCCTTGACACCTCCCTGCTGGATGCTGGCAGGAATGAAGGGGGCATTAGAGAATCAAAAGAAAGTGTGGGCTGCAACTAATGGGAGATGACCATCTCTCACACATGGAGAAATGATGTTTAGAATATCTGGAGAGAGCCGAAAGCAGAGCATTCGAGGACAGACACCTCCAGAAGAACATGACCTAAGAAAATGTGAAGGAAGTTTTAGAGTGGGCAGGTCAATCAAGAAGGGCTTTCAGGAGGAGGGTTTGAAAAGAAGATGGTGGGGGAGTACAGAAAGTGGGCAGACTGGCTCCTGCCCAGGGGTAGCTGGCAGCTCACTTACCCACACCGAGGAGCCACACAGAGGGGTTTGACAGATTGGTGTGAGCCCTGCATTTATAGGCTGCCCCTGCTGGGACACTCAGCCCTCTAGCGGGAAGATTGCTTCACAGGTGAGCAGTGTGGTAACCTTGAGCTGGGCTGTCACTGGCAGGAAGGGGACTGGGTTGGAGCAGGAAATGTTCACATAGTTCCTTTTGCCTTTTTGTGAAATTTCTGGCTCTGGCCTGGAGCTGGTTTGGGAGGAAGCTGGTTGTTGAGTTCTCTTCTCCTTGACCCCGACCCCTGCCCTTGCTGAGCAAGCCAGGAAGATGCCTCTTCTCTGGCACCTTCTCTCCCTGTTCCCGCTGAGGCTGCCCCTTCCCACCCGTGCTAGCCTGTGGCTGGTGGTGGGCTGAGGACCCTGCAGTGCCCGACCCACTCTGCCTCCCCCATGTGGGCAGCCCAACGAGGATGGCTGAGCCTTTCTGAGCCTGCCTGGCTCTGTGATAAGTGCTCTTAGGATGTAAGGGGGTGGCGTAGGGTTCTTAGATTCATAGTGGGTGAGTCAGTTTAGAAGGGCTTTCAGAGGTGGTCAACTGCCTTGTATTGCAGATGAAGAAACTGACGCCCAGAGAGGGACCTGAGTAAGGTTGTTGACATAGCAAGAATCGGGCCCAGACATCCTGGTCCCTGGTTAAGGGTGATTCAGATTACACTGCCCTCTTGCATTGTGAGCAGAGATCATCAGGGCAAATGTGTTTCTAGAGGTCCTCAGCATTACTCTTCTAAATCCTCTCCCAACATGGCAGCCATGCCCTCGAGGAAGGTACAAGCCAGAAGACAACCATTTTTATGTAGCCTTTTGCTGAGCAAGACCTGTTCCTCCCCAGGGGAGAAAGCTGAGCTGCTTAGCACAGCACACAAAGCCCTCCAGGAATGCTGCCCACTCAGTTGGCCTCCCCTCCCGCCCTCTCGCCTGGTGGCACACCTGGCCCAACTACCACCCTGCATCTCCAGCTCTTTGTCTTTGGTGCTGTCACCCTAGGAGTGCCTCCCCCCAAAACAGGGTGCAGTCCTACCGACCCTTATGGCTCAGTTCAAATGCTACTTCTTCCAGGAAGCTTGCTGTCTTCTTCCCAATTGGAAACAATCTCTTCCTCTTGGGCAATGACTCCCACACCACGACATCTCCTGGAGTAAAGTTATTGACCTATTTTACTGACTGTCACCAGTAGATCCTCAAGGGGAGTTCTTATTCATGTTCGTATCCTCTCAAGCACACAGCCCTGTGTATGGCCCAAGGAGACCTCATTTTTGCTGAAGGATCCCATCCTCTCTGGCACACTTGCCCCTTGACCCAAGAAGTGTGTATGGAGAATGGAGGACCTACTATGGGGACCTTCCTTTAACCTCTTGCTTCCTCCAACCTCACCCTTCCATCAGGGAAGATGTTCTCCTTTTCCACATCGACAAGTCTTTTTGTCCAGGCTTCTTGAAGCCTTTGCTTACCGCCCAAGGGTCTCGTGACTGCTCTGCCCTCTGAAAGCCTGAGGCAGCCCCTATGTGTGCTACACCTCGGCCCTGAACAAGTCTTGCCCTACTACATGGAATAGTGGTTAAGAGCTCAGATTGGCTGTGTGACCTTAAGCAATTTACTTAACCTCTTTATGCCTCACTTTCTTTATCAGTAAAATAGGATAATAACAGGACCTACCTTGAGAATTGAGACAGCACGTGTAAAGCTGGGAGAGCTCAGTAAATAAGAGGTATTATTGTTAGTCATCTTTCCATTCATTTATACAAATATTGGGTGAGCACCTTCTATGTGCCAGGCATTAATGCTAGATGCTGGGGGACCTTGGTGAGTGAGTCACAACACATGGGGGAGACATAATCTTATAGCTTGAAATCACACGTAGACTCTTGGAAGCTGAGGACAGGGCCTGCACAGTGCCAAGCACACAGCAGGTATTGAATAGATGCTTGCTGAATGCATGCTTGAGTGAGAGAATACATCATCTATGAACGAATGAACAGTGCAGGCATAGCCCAGGAATACATGAAAGGAAATGCAGGTGCATCTCCTGAGGGGTCTGCCCTCCATCCTTTGAGCTGATTAATGTAGGAAGTGCAGACAACAGCAAGCAGCTGGTCCTGTGTGCCCACCTTCCTCAGGCTGTGAGGAAATCTCCTTGGTTTTAGGCAATCCTGGTCAATGCCCGAGGCACCTCTCCTGTGTGCTCCCACAGTGCCCTCTGCTGCTTCTGTCAAAGCATGTTTCTTTCTGGACCAGGGATGTCAGACACAAGCTTACAGGAACAAGGTACCTGGAGTAAACTGTTATATGTGATGTTATACTGTTAAACTGTTATATGGGAAGCTGGCTGGGCCTGAGGACAACAGCACCACCAGAAGGTCGACATGTGCAACTGACGTGGGGCCTCGGGGTTGGGGACACCAGGGAATGGTGGAGACTGTGGCGAATGGGAGCGGTCCTAACTTGAAGGGACAGCTGGTACTCAGCCTCAGGTGAGGGTGGGCATGTGTGAAAGTGGACCAGGTGCTGCTGGATCTCCTGAAGGTCCAAGAAATCTGAATTTTTATGTGAAAACTCCCACTTATAAATTTGCCAACTAATTTTAAAGGAAAACAAAAACATTAACAATGAAGCCTGGTGTGTGTGGAGCAAAGCACGATGTAGGCCACTGGTGTGTAACCTCTGCTCTGCCACGGAGTTCTTGACTTTCAGGTGTGTCTCCTCTGCTCTGCTGTGGCTCCTCAAGGCAGGACGCTGCTTGACTCGCCTCTGCAGTCCTAGGATGGAGCAAGGGCCTGGCTCGGTAGGTGTCGGAGGAACATTTGTTGAGTGAATAAACGCGGGTGTGCACTTTCTGCAGAGCCTTTGACTGTGACCGTGCAGTGTTGATTCAGTATGAAAGTAAAAAGGTAGGGCCTGCATAAAGGCTATGCATAGTGATTGCATAGGATCACTGGTGGGCTGGAGTGAGCAGCTGGACAGCTGCATTCAACTTCAATTTCATGTCAGAACTACGGGGTAGAGCAAGTTAAGAACACTGGTTGACAGATTCTGGTGAGAGCTCCCTACCCCCTTCTCCGTCACTAGTACCACTGCCCCATCGCCTAAGTGATGAGAACGGAAAATTTCCCAAGCACAGCATGGTGTCAAAACTAACTATAGAGCAGCCATTTTAAAATAGTGTCAGAACTGCCTTTCCAGAGAAACTGCTCTGCTGTCTTGAACCTTGGAGTGGGCCAATTAGGACTAGGCCAAAATGACAACTCTTTTACAAGCAATTGTTTGAGAAGTCAGCAGGGGAACGGACATCCAGATCACAAAGACTGAGAATTGTGGACTTGCTGAAGATAGAATCAATTGTCAATCAATGTTTAGCCAAAACAAGCTCCCTGCCTCCAACTCCAATTAAAATTCTTTGTAATACAGCCTCCCTTCTTTGCCTTTACTATTTTTAATTATTTTATTTTATTTGTTTTTGAATTTATTTGATTGAGGTCACATTGGTGTGTAACATTATATAAATTTCAGGTGTATATATTATATTTTAGCTTCTGTATAGACTGCATTGTGTTCACCACCAAAAGTCTAGTTTTCATCTATCACTGTACGTATGTGCCCCTTTACCCCTTTTACCATCCCCTTACCCCTTCCCCTCTGGTAACCACCTATCTGTTCTCTCTATCTATGTGTTTGTTTGTTTGTTTATCTTCCACATATGAATGAAGTCATACAGTAACTGTTTTTCTCCATCTGACTTATTTTGCTTAGCATAACACCCTCGAGGTCCATCCATGTTGTCACAATGGCATGATTTCATCATATTTTATGGCTGAGTACTATTCCATTGTATATATATGGTATGCCTATATACCACGTCTTCTTTACCCATTTATTCATTGATGGGCACTTAGGTTGCTTCCAAGACTTGGCTATTGTGAATAATGCTGCAATGAATATAGGGGTCATATATCTTTTCCGATTAGTGTTTTCATGTTCTTTGGATAAATATCTGGAAGTGGAATAGCTGGATCATATGGTATTTCTATTTTTAATTTTTTTTTTAGAAATCTCCATACTGTTTTCCATAGTGGCTGGACCAACTTACATTCCCACCAGCAGTGTATGAGGGTTCCCATTTCTCCACATCCTCTCCAACATTTGTTATTTCTAGGCTTTTTAATAACAGCCATTCTGATGGGTGTGAGGTGATATTTCATTGTAGTTTTGATTTGCATTTCCCTAATGATTAGTGCTGTTGAACATCTTTTCATGTGCCTGTTGGTCTTCTGCATATCTTCTTTAGAAAAATATCTGTTCATATCCTCTGTCCATTTTTTGATTGGGTTGTTTGTTTTTTGTTGTTGAGTTGTATGAGTTCTTTTTATATTTTGGATATTAATCTCTTATTGGATATATGATTTGCAAATACTTTCTCCCAGTTGGTGGCTTGTCTGTTTGTTTTGTTTATGGTTTCCTTTGCCATACAGAAACTTTTTAGTATGATGTAGTCCCATTTGTTTATTTTTTCTTTTGTTTCTTTTGCCTGAGGAGACATGATATTAAAAAAGATGCTGCTAAGTCTGATGTCAACGAGTGTACTGCCTATGTTTTTTTCTGGGAGTTTTATGGTTTTACGTCTTAACTTCAAGTCTTTAATCCACTTTGAGTTAATTTTTGTGTATGGTATAAGATAATGGTCTGCTTTTATTCTTTTGCATGTGGTTGTCCAGTTTTCCCAACACGATTTATTGAAGACATTTTCCTTTCTCCATTTTATGTTCTTGGCTCCTTTGTTGAAAATTAGCTGTCTATAGTTGTGTAGTCTTCCTCCGGGCTCTCAGTTCTGTTCCATTGATCTGTGTGTCTGTTTTTGTGCCAGTAGTATGCTGTTTGGATTACTATATGTTTGCAGTAGATTTTGAAATCAGGGAGTATGATACCTCCAGCTTTGTTCTTTTTTCTCGGGATTACTCTGGAAATTTGAGGTGTTTTATAAATTTTAGAATTCTTTGCTCTATTTCTATGGAAAATGTCATTGGGATGACATTTATAAATTTACTTAAAACTTATATTACTTATAGACATAAATTTATTGAGGCTTGTTGTGATTCCAAGCATATGGTCTATCTTTGAGAATGTTCCCTGTGCACTTGGCAATAATGTGTATTTGGCTGCTTTTGGATGGAATGTTCTATATATACCTATTAAGTCCATCTGGTCTAGTGTTTCATTTAAGGCCCAATGTTTCCTTGTTGACTTTCTGGATGATCTATGCACTGATTAAGTGGAATGTTAAAGTCCCCTACTCTTATTATGTTGCTGTCAGTTTCTCCCTTTGTGTCTTTTAATAGTTGCTTTACATACTTTGGTGCTCCTATATTAGGTGCATATATCTTAATAAGTGTTATGTCTTCTTGATGGAATGTCCCTTTTATCATTATATAATGTGCATCTTTGTCTGTTGTTATCTTTTTTTGGCCTGAAGTCTATTTTGTCTGATATAAGTATGGCTACATCCACTTTCTTTTGGTTGCCATCTGCTTGGAGTATTATCTTCCATCCCTTCATTCTGAACCTATGTTTGTCTTTAGAGCTGAGATGGGTCTCCTGGAGGCAGCATATTGTTGGGTCTTGTTTTTAAATCCATCCAGCCATTCTGTGTCTTTTGATTGGTGAATTCAATCCACTTAAATTTAGAGTGATTATTGATATAAGGGGGCTTAATTCTTCCATTTTTGCTTTCTTTTCTGATTGTCCTGTATTTCTATTGTTTTTTTTTGTTCCCCTTTGTATTTCTGTCTTCCATTTCAGGTTGGTGGTTTTTTGTGACGTTTTTCTCCATTTCCTCTTCGTTTGTGTTTTGTGACCCTGCTGTGATTTTTTGTTTTGTGGTTACCATGAGGTTTGTATAAAAGATGTCATAAGCGTGTTAGTCCCCATTCTCCTGATAGCCTCTTATCTCAGTTAGCCTATGCAAATTCTTTTTCCTCTCTCGCTTCAATGTTTTTGTTGTCACAGATATTCTTTTTTATGTTGCGCATTTGTGACAAAATTGAAGTGGTTATAGTTACTTTTGATGCTTTCTTTCCATTTATCCTTTATATTCTAATTGTTTACTAACTATTCTGATACAGAGTTGCAATTCTCTGATTCTTTCTGTCTATTTATCACCTTGCTCAAAGCTCTGTAAACTTTTCCTTTTTTGTTGCGGGTAGGAGAGCTCCTTTCGACAACTCTTGCAAATCCGGTCTAGTGGTGATGAACTCCCTCAGCTATTGTTTGTCTGGGAAAGCCTGTATTTCTCCTTCATATCTAAAGGATAACTTTGCTGGATAGCGTATTCTTGGCTGATAGCTTTATCTTTCAATATTCTGAATATATCATTCCACTCTCTCCTAGCCTGTAGAGTTTTTGCTGAGAAATCTGCTGATAGCCTGATGGAGATTCATACGTAAGGCATTTTCTTCTCTCTGGCTTCCCTTAATACTCTTCCTATGTCATTGACATTTGACAGTTTTTAATATAATGTGCCTTGGAGAAGGTCTTTTTGTGTTGAGATAATTAGGATTTCTATTAGTTTCATGTACTTGCATGACCAGTTTCTTCCCCAGATTTGGGAAGTTCTCAGCTATTTTTCCTTTGAATAAGCTCTCTGCTCCTTTCTCTCTCTCTTCTTGTTCTGGGATACCCATTATCCTTATGTGGCTTTCCCTAATTGAGTCGAATATTTCTCATCAAATTTCTTTTTTTTTTTTTAAATTTTTTGTTTATTGCAGTAACATTGGTTTATAACATTGTAAAAATTTCAGGTGTACATCATTATACTTCTATTTCTGCATAGATTACATC